CATAGGCCGCCAGCCCGGTGGAACCCACAGGCTGTCCCAAATGGAGCCTCGGTTTCCAATATCCCACTCCTGACCTCCAGATGAAGTGGGAAATTACCAATATGGAGTCAGGTAGAAATACAAGGGGATTTAATAGGGAAAAGCCTTACTTACAGAGCGACCTAGCCAGCTGGCATGGCAGCAGTCTGTATAGCAAGCCAAAAGTAAAACCGAAAGTGCCCAGCCACCTGAATCTCTCACTCTACGTCACCATGACCACGCCCTTGCAGGTGTGGTCAGACGCACATTTAGACAGCCCCTAAGTAGGCATGGCTACAGCTTCCCTTACAACATATTTATAATTTTGGGTCCTAGCAAAAACTACAGATTTGGGCTAGAAACATGTACATTTTTCTTCTGTCCAGACAGCCAGGTATGGATTGGACAGAGGTCACTTTGGCCTGATGAAAAGGCCTTTAAGTTTATACTTAGATGACAACCAGAATAAACCTAAAACCTTGAGCTTGTGCCTGAACAGTAGGTAGTCACTACTTTATCAGCTAACATGCTTTCTATAGTCTATAGTGGATCTGACTGCCTGATGCTATCCAGCTGACAACCATTAATATTTCAGAGATCTGAGAAGGATATATTTTATACAGTTTCTGAATCTATTAAAAAGTGACAGAAGCCAGTTAGAAGCCAGTCCATATACAGTTAGCCATTCCCAAGTCTCTCCATTAGCGTTGGAGGTAGATGTCTCAAAAAAACAGCAATCTTCGCCAGGCCTATAAAGTGAGAGTTTTTTTTTCCTCTCTATGGAAGAGGAACATGGAAAAGACTGACCTTGTTTTGTCTAGGCAAAGGGGGTGCAATCAATTTTCCAGTGTCCAGCAGCTTTGTCCACAGTCTTGGCCAGGACCTGGCAGGCAGCAAGTATCACATCTGAGCATCTCACTCACTGGTCCAGGTGCAGGAACTGGGGTGCCTCATAATCTTCTTTGGAGACTTTGGGTCACTGTCAGGATCTGGCAGTCTGTCTGATATTATAAACTTTTAAGATAACATTTTAAATGCCATATTCTTCAGTTCTCTGAAGCATTAGAGGTCTGTCTGTCTGTTTTAGTTACTTGCCTTAAGCACACATTAATCATACATGTAGCTAGGTAAGATCTTATTTCTGTAATTTTCAGTTTGAGTGTAACTGGTTTTAATTTAGAAAAATATTTGAAACTTAGCACAGCTGAATTTAAAACTGCATAGTTACCTTATATTCCTTAAAGAGTAGCTACATGTACACATTTTAGCTGCTTGCTTAAACTTAGCTTCTTTCTGAGACAGGGTTTCTCTGTGGCTTTGGAGCCTGTCCTGGAACTGCTCTGGAGACCAGGCTGTCCCTGAACTCACAAAGATCCACCTGCCTCTGCCTCTGGAGTGCTGAGATTAAAGGTGTGTGCCACCAACGCCCTAAACTTAACTTCTGAAAACATAAACTGGAACATCTTATAATAGATTAGCAGCTTTCATAAAACAAGAACTTTACATTATCAGGTTTGCTTAAAAAATGATTCTAAATTGAAGCTCTTTAAGTACAAACATTAATAAAAACATTTAAAAAAACATAAACATTTCAAAAACTGGTTTTAAAAGAAATTTAAATTCCCTTAATGTCTTTCTGTAATATATAGACGCATCAACATTTTAAGTTTTAATTGAAAAACTTCTTAAGATGGTACCTCCTAATTTCCATGTGGTCATCTTAGTCAAGATGGGGGTTTAAGTATCTTTTTTTCAACTTCAGCAAAATGGCTACCAGTCAGCCATGTGACCAGCTTGCATTGCGGCTGGCTACAAAATGGTGGTAACCTGCATCATTTGTTTTAGCTCTATGCTTGTAACAGAACTTAGGCTATGCCAGGAAACAGATAGAATATTTTAAAACAAGCATACATAAATTGATTGAGAAATAAACAGAACTTTTAAATCAGAATTAATTTAATGTGGTTAAAATTTTATCTTATATTACCAATTTTTAAAATTTACTATTTGTAGGCATGAGAAACCATAGCAAACCATTTACGTTTTTCTCTGACTTTTAACAACTTTTTCTCTGACCTTTGACAACTTTCCTCTGACCTTCTATGATTTGCTTTAACCCTCTATAACTTTCTATATACCTTCAGTTTATTCCTCTGATTTCCTTAGACATTCTTAGACAAATTTCTCTTTCCTTTTCCTCCTTTATTACTTTAGTCTCCTACATTTTCTCTCATTTTTCAGTCAACATAAAACTTCTTATCAAAGTCCTTTTTATAGTTTTTAATAACGTTAAGGCCGTTTCTTAAGAACGTCCAGATCAGACCAGATGGTTCACCCGCCCCAGCTCCATGTGCTCAGGGCAGAGACCTGGGGTGTGTGTGCTGGTAATCCCAGACCGTCTCCCTTCATGCCACGTGTGTGGAGCATAGACTAGACCAGGCAGCCAGGCAAATGGTGGCCTTACAGCCATGTGGCCAGGGCAGGGAAACTCCTGCTACAAGCCAGGGCCCTCGCAGGATGGCAGTTGGGGTAGAGAGAGCCCCACTTTGCATGGCTCACAGACAGGCAGGTGAGGATGGAAAGACAGACTCACCTGCACCTGCTAGGCTCAGCTGTGAGGGCCGCAGCAGTGGTTGGAGTTCAGAGTAGCAGGGGACTCCACTGCAGCACACTCTAACCATGGCACATGGCAGAGGAACTCTTGTCCTGTACCACGTGCTCAGGGCAGCAAGAAAAGACCCCTGACCTACGCATGCCACATGCATGGGCAGTAAGGATAGAAAGAGATGCTTATCAAACACACAGCACAAATGTGAAACTTGAACAAAATTAACAGAAACAGCAGACCTGAAAACACAAAAGTGACACTACACCGAAAAGCAGGTGGGGAGGGTGTGGACTGCAAGATATCAGACAACACAGATAACAAACCTACTCAACTGCCCAGTCACCCAGCCCATTCCAACCCTCCAGGCTTTACAGAAACCGTACAGAAACAAAGACTGGAAAAGAAAGTTACCTAGTGTGGCGCCACATGAATCATTGAAAGGGGGTGGTTAGTTGTTAAACCATGGGGAGAGCAGAGACAGACACAACAGCAAAAACAGAAGGACAGACACAACAGACAGGACAAACCGCTCGGCAGACCAAATTACAGACATGGCGCCAAACCAAAATTACAGAGCAGGAGGGAAGCCGATTGAGGGGTCCAGTTGCCCCTTGGAGAATCGACACTTCGTATCCTTCCCTTTCCCAGATGACCCTCAGACTTTCATCTAGGGTGGGACCAAGGGGTCCAGGGCACGTCTGCCTCTGGGGAACATCTGCTTTCCCTATGGTCCAAATCAGACGACCCTTGGACTTTCATCCAGGGCAGGACCCAGGGTCTCAGGACAAGTCTGTCTCACCCTGTGGTCCAAATTACCAAATACAAGTCCTACGCAGGCACAAACTCCAAGTCAAGAGACATAACAAGACACATTATCAAACATGGACATAACATTGAACATGTAAGTTGCGAGCTCTATCCACCTTACCTCCAACATCGGATTCACTCAGGTGAGAGGTGGTCGCAAATCCAGGACGAGCCCCCAAATGAAAGACCCCCGGGAGATCAGGCTCCCAGGATCTCAGCCCAGGAACTCGGTTACCCCAGTCACCAGGCAGAGTCAAAAGCTTGATGCAAACTGCAGGAGGCTTTATTATAGATGTTTAATGAGCTAACCCCATGTTAGCTCCGGTCTTTCATCCACCCACCATGGTGGATGGCTAGGAAAGACCAGCTACAAGCATTTTTAAGATTAAAATTATGTGCATTTAATTTCATAGAATTGTATGTGGCTATTATTTAAAATAATTGCTTATATTTTTGTCGTAAAGTTTACTGACTAAAGTGTCTTAAAAGTATTTCTCATAAAGAGTAGTTCACACATGATCATATTAAAAATATAAGATCATATTTAGGTATTTGTTGAATTCATTGAGATTCTTTCATACCCTTACATTTTAAAATAATAGTAATTTGTTGTTTTCACTGCATAGTTTACCCCTTGGAATCACAAGTTTCGGCACAGTAAATCATGCTGTCAGTTACTAGACAAGACCCCTCGTAGTTGTCCTAGGTGTCTGCGTCTGCTCTCTGCCCTCACCTCTTCTATGACCATGAAACTCTGAGAGCATGGAAGATACTGAGAACAACTTACTGCTTAGTATCTGCTGCAAGATACACCCTGCCTCTAAGGAAGGGTCTACTTTTTTTTCAGTACTGGGAAAAATATGTGCATTTTGTGAAAGAGTAAACTCTGAGTTTCAGAAATTTTGATGAACATTAGAAGCAAAATACTAATGTGGTTTCTTGAGATCTGATTAAGGATGAGTTAAGCTTGCAGTTTCCCTACTCCATCCTTAGGTTTAAGCAATCCCATGTTTAAGTATAAACCTGTGTATGTGAAGATGTCCTTCATCTGAGCTGTGACTCCTCATCCCTTAAGTCAGATCCTTCCTTCAGTTTAGACTAACACCCCAAAATTCTGAAGGTAGGGAAAATTGTCAAACTGAAGACAGTTCTGGATTACTGCCAGCTGAGATGACCAATGTAACTGATGAGCAGAATTTCTTTCTCTGTTTTTCCTTCTTGCTTTGCATCTTCGTCTCAGCAATTTGTTTTTGGCATGTTGATGTTGTTCTCTTGGGGTACTATTATGAAATTGAAGGTGAACTGAATTTAACTGAATTCTGCTTTCACATATTTTTAGTTATATTGTTTCAGCATTTCATGTGTAGAATTACATATATGCTGTAACTGTGTTGAAATATGCTTCTTGAATACAAAGGAAAGGAAATGGCTGACTAGTGCCAACAATAGCAGGTGACAGCTTTTTGTTTTTAATTCTGGGTGCACAGGAAATGTCTAAGTCAGGATAAGCACAAGTAAACTAGACTTATTTTTATCCTCATGAAGATATTCTAAAAATTTGTTCTAGGCCAACCATATTCTGATGCTGCTCTAAAAAGGCAATCTAGACATCATTCTAAGTCTGGTAGACTCCGTGGACGAGAACAACCCAGAAAGTATATGCCTCCTTTACTTGAAGTGGGTAAGAGATGCTCTCTCTCTCTCTCTCTCTCTCTCTCTCTCTCTCTCTCTCTCTCTCTCTCTGTGTGTGTGTGTGTGTGTGTGTGTGTGTAAGCATGCATGCATCCAGATTAAATTCTTGTGATAGTCTAGAGGACTGGGAATTGAACCAATGGCTAATATAATTACTATCCCCAATTGCTCTTAAGGCCAAATCTTCTTTTATATTTCCTGTGATTGTGTTTCTCATTGAATTTTTCAAAACAATTTTGTATGTTTTTATGCTATGTGTATGGTATTTATTTCTGTGTGTCCCATGCATGCTTGATACCTAAGAAAGACAGAACAGGGCATCAGAACCCTTGGAAGTAGAGTTGCAGTTGGTTGTGAGCTGCTGTGTGGTTGTGAAGAATTAAGCATAGGTCCTGTGGAAGAGCAGCCAGTACTCCTAAGCACTGAACCATCTCTCCAGACCTTTCTTGTTGTCTCATATTTCAGGCATGTCATCTAATATATATGGTGAAGGTTAGTTTTGGGACCAGAGTAAGGGTTGACTGTATCTTGCTATAATACAAAATTTACTCTGTTCCATAGCTAACTTCCCATTGTTTTTAATCCATTTACATATATTCTGTTTACCAGTCAAGGATATTAGGCTGCCTATTGTCAATGGCCATGTAAGGAACCAGTAAAATAATACCAGTAAAATAATTTGAGTTCTTGTTCTTAATTAGTTATCATATTTAATCATCATATTTAGTAGATTGAATCTGTCAGGAACTCTTCAACTTTCACTCACTAACCACTGAAGCTGGGAAATACGTGTTATCTACTGTAGGAATTAAAGCAAGTAATACAGAGAAAGAATAAAATCCTGAAATTTAAATTTTCATTGTGTATTTGTTATCTATAAGAGTACTTTTCTACAAGCATATATTATGTACTGAGGGAAAGGAGGACACACAGAAAAGACAGGAAGTACCTGAAGCATTCTGAGATTTTCTACTGGGCTGCCCCAAAAAGATAGACTAGGATGCAGCTGGAAGGTCATCAGCACACTGCGACAGAATGTCTGTTCTACTGAATTTTCACAGGTCTCAGGCTCCTTTGGGGGCCCTAATATGGAATACTAGTGTATGCATGTCTAGTTGTTCCCTGTTGCAGTTAGGCTAGTGGACATGTCAGTGTCATTTGGATCAGGAAACAGTCTGGGAATAAAGAGAACTCATTAATTTTTCCCGGTTTAATTTTTCTGTCTAGATGAGCCATTATCCCCAGAAATGACTTCCACGAAGAATAACAGAAAAAGTGACCCTGGAGTAAGTATTAGAAATTGAATTCTACCCATGTATCACAACTAGTTACTTGGTTTTATTAGAAGAAGCCTAGAGCTCTTCTACTATGTGATAATAAGTGATTTATATTGTACACTTCTATTGAGCATTAACACTGTCATTGTTGGCTTGTGACCTTCTGTGAAATAGTACAGATCACATGCAGGTTTTGATGGTGCATGTAATCCTAGCATTTTGGCAGGTTGAGGCAGAAGGATTGTAAATCCAAACTCAGTGTGGGCTATATAAGCAGATCTTGTCTCCACCAACCAAATAGGCTCGAAAATGGCTTCCAGGTTAAGAGCACTGGCTGCTCTCCCAGACGCCATGTGTTTTATTTCCAGCACTGGAGTTGTAGCTCACAACCCTTCTTACCTCCTGGTTAATGTATCTGAAGCTCTATTGTATCCTTTAAGAACACTGAATGTATATAGTATGCAGATATACATACAGGCTAAACACCCATACATGTCAAATAAAAAGCAAATAAAAAAACTTAAATAAGAACAACTTTTAGATGAACTTTATAGCTTTTACACTAGTTATACACTGTTTCAGATTTTCTTCCTTGAAATCTTATTTGGATATTAAAATGTATTTTAGGCTTAAAATATAGCATTTATTTTGATCATTTTGAAAATATCAATGTCTTAACCACTTTCGTTCTCTCTCTCTCTCTCTCTCTCTCTCTCTTTGTGTGTGTGTGTGTGTGTGTGTTTGTGTATGTGTGTGTTTGACACAAGTATTTATCTTTTTGTTTCCATTTGAGGATAGGTTTCCCATGAGCTCGTAGCCAGCCCTGAAACTCACTGTATTGACAGGCTGCCCTCAAACTGACAGAGATCCACCTTCCTCTGACTCTCAAATTCTCCATTAAAGGCATGTGCCCCCAGATGCTGGTGTATAGGCATTTTTTAAAGTGTCTGCTTTGATGTGCCTGAACTGTAATTGTGATTTAGGGAGAGCCAGGTAGACTATTACTACCATGCTTAAAGTTTCTGCTGTGTTAGTAAAAATACTTAGGATAGCACATTATCTGCTCCTACACTGGTGTGGAAACTGAGCCTGTTCCCAGGCCTTGTGTAATGTCATGGACTGCTTTCTTCTATGCCTGACACTCCCAGGAAAGGTGCTGGTCATCAAGTAGTTTTACTGACTGCTGATTGTCACTCTCTTACAGAAGTCAACTGTGCCCAACACTCCTCCTCCTGAATTTGAGGCAGCTGGCAATGGCTTCATCTCTCCACCGTTTCCCCAGGATAGAGGCCCCAGAGGCCCTCTCTTTGCAGGGGATGCAAGAAGCCCTGTTATGAGTAGGCCACCCCCATTTCCTCCACCTCCTCCAGGAAACATGCATGCAGGGCCTCCAGGTTATTTTACATCAAGGGACTTCGATGGCCCACCCTTCCCACCTGCAGGCCCTCCAGATTATTTTCTTCAGAGGGACTTCGCTGGCCCACCCTTCCCACCTGCTCGTCCTCCAGATTATTTTTCTCAGAGGGACTTCGCTGGGCCACCTTTCCTGCCATACCCAGGTAGGCTTTTTTTTTTTTTTTTTTTTTTTTTTTTTTTTTAAAACTCAGTATTTTTACACCATTTTTTTTTGTTTTCCCCTCCCACCCCCGGGTGGTGTTTTTTTTTTTTTTTTTTTTTTTTTTTTTTTTAAAGCCCATGGATTTGTCAACATTTTCTGTGCTTTTCTTATTGCTGTTTTAGACACTGGTCAGAACCACCCTGAGGATGAAAGAGTTTATATGCTCACAGGTTACAGTCCAGCATAAAGGAAGCCAATGTTTAGTTACTTTTGAATTTTAACAGTACTGTATAGGTCAGAAATTAAGTAAATTTACAAACATGATTTTTTTTGTATACAATCTTTCCTGCCTTGAGAAAATTAAACAAAACAAATTTGTTGCCTGTCCTGGAACTCTTATTCTGTAGACCAGGCTAGCCTTGAACTCGCAGAGATCTATCTGACTCTGATTCCCAAGAGCTGGGTTTGAAGGTATGTGCCACCAATGCTCAGCTACAAGCATTTTTAAGATTAAAATTATGTGTATTTCATTTCATAAAATTGTATTGTGGCTATTATTTAAAGTAATTGCTTCTATTTTTGTCTTAAAGATTACTGACTATAGTGTCTTAAAGTATTTCTCTTAAACAGTAGTTTCCACATGATCATATTTAAAATGTAAGATCATATTTAGGTATTTGTTAAATTTATTGAGGTTCTTTCATACCCTTACATTTTAAAATAAAAGTAATTTGTTGCTTTCACTGCATAGTTTATCCCTTGGAATCACAAGTTTCTGCACAGTAAATCATGTTGTCAGTTACTAGACAAGACCCCTCTTAGTTGACCTAGGTGTCTGCTCTCTTCCCTCACCTCTACTCTTAAACTTCTAGACAAGTGAAATGAGTTTTGTTTGGGAAGTTTTAAGGTTGTCCGAGACATTACAGGAAGTATTTTCAGTAGAATAGCACGTCAGGATCACTGATCTGAATATTAAGTTGAAAATTTTGCTCCACTGAATAGCTATTTTACAGTAAGTCTTGAATGTATTGGGATCAGGGGTACCTGCCAAGTAGGACAAAAACAGCTGAAACCGAAGGTGATGTTCTTACTATTCCTATGTAGTTAAGAAGTACAATTTCAATGTCAAGTTTCCTTTGGGAGATCAAATATTGTGTTGTGAGTGTTTGGACATCAGAATAGGGGCTGGAGCTAGTGTTTCAACAAGTGTGCTGTACAGGTTTTTAACTCCACTCTCCTTTATCCATCTCTTTGGACAGGGAGAAATGTGTTCGAATCAAGGGGCTTTCCACCTTTCTTTCCCCCAAGAGCTGGGTTTGTTCCCCCACCCCCACATGCTGAAAGTAGAAATGAGCTGCCTCCACAATTGATTCTGCCTTCCAAACAACCTGTACCTGCATGTCTGGAAACACAGGAGACCTGACAGTTTCCTCGGGGGGTCATTTCTTCTCATTTTCTCTTTAAGTAATTGCTATTACTTATGTGATTATATTGTTGCTCAAATCAAAGCTTAATGGAATAGCATTTTATAAATAAAGATTATTTAACTATGAATCTTATGAGTAAATTATTTCTCTTTTATTTCATTCTGGATAGTATATTTTACTTCGATTACCTCATCCACCATTACGGTTGTTTTATACATAATCTTATAGTTGGGGGAAATCCTTTTTTTTTTGTTTTTGTTTCATGTTTTTTTAAGACAGGGTTTCTCTGTAGTTTTTGAGACTGTCCTGGAAGTCACTCAGTAGATCACACTGGCCTCGAATTCACAGAGATCTGCTGGCCTCTACCTCTTGAGTGCTGGCATTAAAGCTTGTGCCAACCATGCCTGGTTAGTAGGGGTATCTTAAACTCTATAGGCTATGTGTTTATAACAGGAATGTGTTCACCATGGTTGTAGTCAAATGGAAAAGAAAGTATGTTTATGAAATAAATTTTAATTGAATTACAGTCTTGTCATTGATAATTATAAAACAAGCCAGTTTCACATAAGCATAGCTCCATAATTTAGTCTTTTTACCAGTACCAATAATTCAGTGGTTCAAAAGGGAAGTGTCTGGTGCTGGAGAGATGGTGGCTCAGTGGTTAAGACTGGGTGCTCATTCGGAACTGAGGATTGGGCTTGGTTCCCAGCATCCACATGGCAGTTCCAGATCTGGAGAATCCAGTGTCCTCTTCAACCTCCAAGTGTACCAGGAATGCTTGTAGAGCACACACATGCATGTAGTGCACAGTATACATACATGTAGTGCACAGACATGCATGCAGAACACCAGGGATGCATGTAGTGTGCAAGGTTTGCATGTGGTGCAGCAGGAATGGATTAATGCACAGGCATATGTGTAGTGCACAGGCGAGCATGTAGACAAATCATTTGCATATGTAAATTATAGAAAAAGGTAATGCATTGTGGTTTTTCTGATTTGATTATCTTACAAGATGTGTATCCTACTCTGGAGTTAGATATGAATGACCCAAAATAAAGTTATGAACTTTAAATCTTAAATATGGATTAAAATTGTAAAGAAAGCAGGGACATTGTCTAATGAGGAATTTCAGAATTTTATTGAACTTTGTTCACTGAATAACTCTCTTTTAACAGTTCAGAGAGAGAGAGGAGTGAGATAGAGCATGAAACAGCAGGCACACACAAGCCCACTCTTGTACAGGGTGTATGGTGATCAGAGGACAGCTGGAAGATTATCTTTCTACAGTAGGTTCTGGAGACAGCACAGGATCTCAGGGACACACAGTGAGCACTTTCCTCTATATCCTGCCAGTCCTACTGACTGGCTTTCTAACATAATTTCTCTTTCTCTCACTCTGTTCATCTATTTATTGATTTTGTTTCTTTCTGAGACACAGGTTTTGGTGTGTAGCCCTGATTGTCCTGGGACATGCTGTGTTGACTAGGCTGACTTTGATTTTGGAGACATTCCTGTTTCTGCTCATAGAGTGCTGGGATTAAGAGTGTGCAACACCACACCTCTCATTTTATTCTTAACTGGAAGATGTTGATTGTGTTCTGTGGGCTGTGTTAAGAGAATAACCAACAAGAGGCCCCTGTTTCTGAGGTAGGGAGTTCAAGTGTCTTCAGACTGGTGTTCCTGTTCTTGGTCTTGCACATTGATAGGAATGGAGAGAGTGAGACCCATCCAATGGATTTCCTGTTGATGTATTCAGCCATTGGTTTTCACCTGTTCAGTTGGGTTTTCCTTAGGTGTCAAGGGACTGGTTTGAAAGGTTCAGGCATTATGTTGGCCTGCCCTGTTACCTGGCAGAATCCACTCAGGCAGTACCCTGGTCAGCCAAGGGTTCCATAGGAACTAAGTCTACACACAGGTGTAGAGGACCCCTTTAAAACACAGACCCCTACCTATTAAACTCACTCTACTCTCTACTCTTCTCCTCTCTGCTCTTCTCTTGCTTTTCTCTCTTCTCTTCTCCTATCTACACTCTCTCTGCCTCTCTATGGTGATGGGCCATGGCAGTCAGCCATTAACCCTGTTCCTCTTCTTGCTTAGTCTCTCTACTTTGCTGGACCTATAATAAACTGGTTAATATGTCTAATAGTCTCATATCTCATCTTGTGTCTCATCTTGCACTCTTTTTTCTTTCTAATTTAAACAAAAGAATAACATGGGTAAGTAACATTCTCTAGCACAGCAGTGTGATTGTGACTGGAATGTTTCCCGAGTGTCATTGGGAACAGTGGTCAGGAGTTGTTTCTGCTCTACACAGAAAGACAAGCTTTTCATTGAATGCAGTTTCCCCTGTTCTTATTCTAGAGTTTTACAACATGAACTTCTACCTCTTAATTCCCATTTTATTACTTGATTAAGAAAATGTATCAGTGTTTTGTTTCCATAAAGAAAGAACTTACGATTTTGGTATTTATCTACAATTAAGTTTTATATTGAAACATTTGTATTCTTTGTTTTGGTCAGCTGCCTTCAGGACTGTGAACAGAGCCAGCCATACAGTCCAGGGTTTGATTCTGAGTGGGTGTGTGTGGACTAGTGTAATTGAATTACCCAACAGCGCTAATGATGAGACAGGAAACACCTTATCATCTCAGGAGGGCTCCCAGCTGATGCCAAGAAGCCACGGTTTATTGAGAAGTTTATTTAAATAGTCTTCCAAGGGCAGGGAAGCATCTATTATGATGTATATAGCTGATATCAAGTGATTCTATTAATTTAAGCATCACCTAAACACTTCCTAGTCTTGTAGACAGAGTTCTCAGCCCAGGTGCTGTCCTCATAATACCTAGGCCCATAGAGGTGCAAACTAGGAAGCCTTCTACACTGAGGCCATGCTAGTCAATAGCAGATTTGCTCACATCTGCAATACAATTATTGGCAGAGCTCCTGGGAGCTCCTGTATACTAAAACGGGAGGTTAGACCTTAAGACATTCCTTAATAGAACTTTCCTGGTCCCCAGCAATCCTTGACATCATTAAATCTCTGTTTAAATCCACTTCTTTTCTTTCTCCCCCTAGACCAGGATCTTTCTGTTAGCTATTTATATTTCAAATATGCAACTCCAAACTGTACATCTCCATGTGTGATGTCAAAATACTCTTGGAGAACTACAACTCTGCTCAGCTTTGTTGACTGCAATGTACTTCTCTCTCTTGGGCTTGTAAGGCCTCCCCCCCGAAAGGGAAGATCCTCACTCAAGTCTCGGGATGACGCGACCCCCCCCCCAAGAACTCATGAGAGACTGTCCGTGCTGCAATCACATGAGGTTTATTGACAGGAGCCAGCGTGCTGGGGCCGAGACTCATATCCCACACAGGGGTAGAGGAGTTTCCACCCCAAATGGCTGGGAATAGGGGTTTTTAAAAGAAGAAACCACAACCCAAAATACCAAGAATACCAGTGAGGGAAGAAATCCCAACCCAAAATACCAAGAATACCAGTGAAGGGAAGAAATCCCAACCCAAAATACCAAGAATACCAGTGAGGGTAGAAACTCCAACCCAAAATACCAAGAATACCAGTGAAGGGAAGAAATCCCAACTCAAAATACTTGGTGAAGGGTCATGAGGTAAATCACAAGGGGAAACTCCCTATTCCTTAAGATTGTAAGATTCTAATCTAACTTTTTATGGCTTGCCTTTTCCTGGAACAGAGTTGCTGAACCAGCTAGCCACCCTATATCCTAGGCCTTATTTTGTCTGCTGAGGGGGTCGTCTTTATCCTGGCTTTTCAGGCTGGTTGTACTGCCTGTTAGCAGCTCTCCTTGGAAGGTGTCCCTTGACTCTGGTATCTCTAACACTTGGGTTCTCCAATACAATCCAGGCTTTACCTTCACAGCTTTTACACAGTTGGCCTCTGTACTAGGTCTCCATTCAGGAACACCCCCGACACAAGCCTGGTCTCATTGGTTTTACTCCATAACTCCTTTCTTCTGTCCTAGAACTCACTGTGTGGTCTACCTGACCTCAAAAAGATGTGCTTTCTGGGAGTAAGAGAGCCCACTATTGGTCTCCAAGTCCAGTTCTTCTCTAAGAGATGAGGAAACAGACAAAGGAGCTTGTGCTGAGGCCAACTGAGACAGAATCAGCAGCTGAGACATCCGGTTCAGTATTGTGCCCTTCACTTGGATGCCAATCATCTTTACTCCTTCCTTTTGCAAACACATGGGGACACTTTATGTATACACACACAAACACACACATGCTGAGTCACTCGGAGTTATCAGATCTGTCTAGGAAATAATCTAGGCATTAGACAATTCCAAGATGAATCAGTGCCTGTGAAGAAGGCATCTAGAACAATAATGAATGATAGCTGTTAATCTCAAGGACCAAGACACAGATCATGTTAAAGCCACAATTATATGGCTCAGCAAAAATTAATAGCAGTAATAATTTCTGCCTCTGATACACTGAAGAAAATAAGAAGCATGTTTAAATTACCAATAGTGTATGCTAAATGCATGCTACATTGGGATATTGTTAACGCGTCTAGTGCCTTTGTTTTTCCATTTTTCTTTTTTTTCAGTGTTTTATTTTTATTTTTGTATTTATTTTTTTGGAAGTAGGGTCTTAAACAGCCAAAGCTGGCTTCAGTCTCACTTTGCACCAGCAAAGGACTGTAGTGGTTTGAATAGGAATGGCCCCATTAGCTGATGTTTGAATATCTGGTGACCTGTTGATGGAATTCTTTGGGAATGATTAGGAGGTATGTCCTGTCACTGAGTGGTTTAGGTGCCATGGTTATTGAATGAGTATGGTCCTCATAGCTCATATATTTCAATGCTTAGTCACCAGTTGGTAGAATTGAAAGACCCCCGTGGAGGTACTTTCGTAGAAGGAGACCAGTACCCAGGAATCATCGAGACCACGAACTTGGATGCAAACTGCAAGAGGCTTTATTGGATACACGGGTACCCGGGGCGACTTAGCTTCTGTGAGGCCAAG